TTACCGTTGGCCTTGATAGTATCAGTCTTGTTCATATAGTATCGATACTACTAGTATCGATACTGTTCATATAGTATCGATACATATTTTACATTCTGGAATTTTTGAGTATCGTCACTGTTCATATAGTATTGATATTATTGTTCATAGTATCGATACTACTGTTCATAGTATTGATACTACTATTCATACAATATCAATACTATTTATACAATATTGATAATATTCATACAGTATCAATACTACTTATAAAAATTGTTTTGTGCTCAATTTCAAGTTTTAAGGACTTTGAATTATTTTTGAAAACTTTTAAAAACGTTGAATAAATTCAATTCAAGTCCAAAAACATTTTTCCATAAATTGTTATATCAAAACTTAGTTCAACACAGTGGAATGAATCAACGTCCCCAAATATGATTTTCCCTCAAGAAAAAGTAGAACAAATATATCTCTTTCAAGATTTGATATTTCTTGAGTAACAGTGAAACAAGTCTACCTCGATTCAATCTTCTCTGAGGAACAATATAATTAATCAACATCCCTGGATCTGATTCCCTCAAGAAGAAGCGGGACATATCCCTCGTTTTCAAGATTTGATATTCCCTGAGTGATAGTGGAACAAGTCTACCTCAATTCAATCTTCCTTGAAGAACAGTGGAATGAATCAAAGTCTCCATATTTGATTTTCCCTCAGGAAGAAGTGGAACATATCCCTCATTTTTAAGATTTGATATTCCCTGAGTAACAGTGGAACAAGTCTACCTCGATTCAATCTTCCCTGAAGAACAGTGGAATGAATCAATGTTTCTCGATATGATCTACCTGGAAGAAACAGTGGATCAGATCCAATATCAGATTTCAAAGCACAATTTTGACCGGAAAAAACTCGATGTCTCTTCGTCTTTGCCCTATTCTTGTTAACACAAGAATGAACAAAGAGGGGAAACTATCGACACTTGGTTTTATCCGGATCGAAACCAGTTATTATTATTATTATTATTTCTTACATGTTAGAATTACATGCCCAACCGGGCCCAAAAATACAACCCAATCGGCTCAATTACAACTCAAGGCCCAACAACCCAAATCCGGCCTAAATTACAACAATTCACACCTAAAGCCCAACATATACGGCCCAGACCCGGTTGCAGCCACACCAACCTTCTACTAACACCATGCTGTTGTCTACCACACCTGCCACCACCATCCTGTGCCCATCCTGCTCCATCTCCCACGTGAAGCCACTGCCAACACCAGGACCACTGCAGCACTCTAACAAAATCAGTAGAATTATTATTATTTATTTCTATTATGTAATAGATATAACCCATGAAAAAACAATGTTAAGGGGGCTTGGTTTTTCTAAAAAAAAATGAAAGTTCGAAGAGAGGGGAACCCCAATTCGAAAAAAATAAAGATTATAAGGGCTCTCGGGATGAAAAAAAAGTAGATTGTAAAAGAGAGAACTTCCCTCCATTTTGAACAGGAGTAAAAAAAGTTTGGAGCAATTTTTTTTTTCCAGATTCTTTCTTTTCCATTCAATATATATATATATATTGCAATATTAGAGTAAAAAGAAAAAGAGGATAAGGGAGAAGGGACTCTCGACCACTCTCCTCTAGCCGTTCCCCAACATCAGCCATCGAGCCCTTCCATCACATCCTTATCACCACCATTCCCTCATTCTCACCACCACTCGGCCATAACCGAAACCTTCACAACATTAAAACTACTGCTCCCAACGCTCGATAGTCACCCCATACCAAACCAAAAAAAAACACATTAGTCAAAAAGAAAAAAAATGAGAAAGTGTTACCAACATTTGACTATAACTGGTAGGCTCTCTAATGTTCGGCATCCACCGCGACAATCGTCAACATTGATTCAAAACGACGATGGTGAAGAATAAAAAAAGGAGAAATAAAAATCATAAAAAACAGAAACAATAAGGAAAAGGAAAAGGAAAAAAAGCAGAGAGCTTAACTTTCGGGTTTTCGACGGTGGTGGCTTCGAAGCTTGAATAATAGTTTCGAATGGTGAAAAGTTGCATATTGACGAGAAGACCAACATTCTCAGAAATCGTGATGATCCGACGCCAGACAACGGAGATCGGAGTCCGGGAAAGTCGAACAAACTTTGGCCATTTTGCGACGTTCGGAGCATCCCCTGGAGAAATGGACACCAGATCTGGATTATAGTCATCGAGATAAGTTGATCGGTGTAATTTGGTGGCCAACGGTCATCGACGATGTTGGCGACGTAGCAGTTGGCTGCGGACGAGACGACGACCGACGATGGCCAATTTTCTAGAGAGAATGAAGATCCTCTCTCTAGAAGTTTTTAAAAAAAAATGGAAATGAAAACAATTAAAAAGAAAAAGATTGTCTTAATAGAAAACTTTAGGGAAAATTGCACTTAGGTCCCCTTAAGTTATGCATATTTTTACAAATGATCACATGTAGGGACCATTTTTGTAATTTATCCATTTCTGATGCATGTTATATATTTTTAGTTTAATTTTTGTTTAGTCCATGTATATTTATGCGTATTTTACATTTTGTTCCTTTACTTTTAAGTTATGCATGTTATATATTTATGTGTATTTTACATTTTTGTTATATATTCTTAGGGATTGATTTAGTGATTTTACCTTTTTTATTTTTGAGCACTAACTTTTTAGTTTATTATCTTCTAGGTCCCTCTACTTTACGCGTGTTTTCCCATTTCGGTCACTCGTCCTCTGTTTATTTTATTTCTTTGATTTTGTGCTCTAATTTGTGCTTGTTTTAATTTAGTCACTATTATTATTGTGGTTTATTCAAATTTAGTCACTAATTTTTTTATTTTTATTCAGTTAGCCATTGTTTGGGGTTCTATTTATTATTTTATTATAATTTAGATACGATGTCTGCAATTTATGCATTTTAGTCACCGATTGATTATGATTTGGCTATTGTTTTTATTTTTATTTAATTTTAGTCCCTTTCTGCTTGTTATTTTATCTTTATGCTTATTTTAATTCGAGTGCCTTATTTTAATAATTTTCATTTTGGTCATGAATGAGTGAAGTTGATTCATTTATGATTACATCGCCTAGTTTGTAAAATATTCGCAATGCTTGCCTTGATTTTTTGTTGGTTGTATAGTTTAATCCCTAAAATCACCATCTTTATTATTTTGACTCATTATTTCCATATTTGTTAATTTCTTGCTATTTGTAATATTTTTAAATATTATTTTACTCGAGGAATTTATATAAAACGAGTCTTAACTGATAAGGAGTGTGTTTCCAAGAATTGTTCGAACAAAATAATACCTTTTATATATTTGAATGAATTTGTTTTTTTTAATATAATATATGTGTATTTTATCTAAAAATAGGGCAATATTATTTTGTACGAAAAATCCATGGAAATGCCCCCTTAACTGACAAGGAAGGTATTTCGAGAATTGTTCGTGTAAAATAACAATCCTTATATATATATTATTTTTTAAAAAAAGATCATAATTTAAATGTATATTCGAATTTGCCAATTTCAATATTTAGATGACGTTTAATCTCTTAGGTACCGATTTCGGGTGTTGTGGGGTGCTAATCATTCACCACGCGTAATCGACATCCAAACCTTTTTTCACAACGAATTTATGATTAAACGCAAATCATTTTTTATATTTTAAAATTATTTTTCTTAAAATTATTTTAAAATGTATTTTTTGGTATTCGACCTAAAGGTCGATGGTGACTCCAAATTTATTTATTTGTTCTTTATTTTATAACCCAATATTTTCCAAGATTAAGTTAGATCGATCCCTGCCATAACCCTAAAAAACTTAAGGACCGTTCCGACAGGTGTAGTCTCTTGAGGTTCCTTCGATCGAAGAGATCTGAGATTTTGTTCTATTCCTCCTAATAGAAATGTTCTTCATTGGTTTATCACTTCTGGTCTCAGGAGCCTGAGTATTTCTGCAATCTGGTTTAACTGGAAGTTTCCCAGTCGCCTTCTCCTTCTTGAAGTCCTAATAATTTAATTTATGAAGGATTTATACGAGGAATTTAGTCTAATTTATTAATATCAACTGTTACACACCGGAAAGAAAGAGAAAAAACCTAAAGAATAAGATACTAACAGAGAGAGAAATAGTAAAAGTTATATGGAGCGGTTATATATATAATATTAATTTGCTTTAAAAAAATTTGTTTAGTATTTTTTTATATTATGTACATTAGACATTAAAATTGTAATATTTTTTTGGGATAAATTATACATTTAATACATAAACTATAAATTTTGATCCATTTATTACTTAAACATTCATTTCCCCCCAAAATCATACATAAAGTTTAGTTTTTGTTGCATTTTAGTATCTGCCGTTAAAAACTTAACACATTTAGTACCTAAACTATTGATTCGTTTTAGTGCCTAAATTTTCATTTTTTTTCAAAACTTAACGATAGTGTACTAAAATGAAACAAAAACTAAACTTTAGGTAGAGTTTTGAAAACATTAAAAGGTTAGGTACTAAAACGGATCAAAACTGATAGTTTAGGTACTAAGTTGTTTTGCATCATCTTAAACCCTAAACCATAACTTAAAACCTTAAACTATAATCCCTAAATCTTAAACACTAAAACTAAACCCTAAACAATAGTAAATATTTTAAACATTGATGTAATTAAATAACTTTAAGGGCTAAATTGATGCGAAAATACCATAGGAACAAAAACGATGAGCTAAGTCTACTATAAGGAAAAGAATAACCCTTAAACCTAATTATTTATTGGGTTTTGTACTAAAATTCGTGTCAAGCATTCACATTGGATGTGTAATTTAGCATCATCGAAGAAGGATAATTTGACTAAATTGGCACAAGAACATACTTTCCAAAAGAATCAAATTCCATTGGCATTTTTCTATTCTCCATCCTATGTTACTTATTCTAACCACAACTACTATAAATTCATCATGAGTTTAATGCTAAAAACACCACTTAAACAAAAGCATTTCACATAAAATAATATAATTTTAGATATGGCACCAAGGCAACTCGAAGCAGGCGACCACATCTATTGTCCAAGAAACTTAGGTCTATATTATCACCATGGTTTGTTTCTCGTTCTTTTCTATTTAATCAATATATATATATCGTTGTACTTCATATCCTCTTCAAGGGCAATACTCTTGCTATTAGGGTCGTGGTAGGGTTTTCGGGGGTCCTGTACAAATTCTTATAAATGGGCCCCTATTTTCTAGATATATTCGATTTCGGGGCAACAATAGTGGCGTTTTCTTGACAAACGCCACGATAGATCCATCTATAATGGCGTTTTATCAATAAAGACGCAATAATAATGGTTTTTTAAAAAACGTCGCAATAGGTCCATCTATAGTGGCGTTTATTGGTAAAACGCCACTATATATATATATATATATATATATATTTGGGCCCCATTTATTGGGCGCCCTGCGCGGTCGCGCCGCCCCAGCCACGGCCCTGCTTGCTATCACTCTTTATCCATCGAGCTTTGAAAATTTCAGAATTCTTTAAAATTTCCAAAAGATATTTTCTGGAGTTCTTCAAAGCATTTCGTATTTGTTATCTAACAACTATTTCTATATCATGATAAGGTGTACGGATAATCATCGTGACCTAAATTTGACAATAGAAATAAAGGTCATTATATATAAATTCCTCGTACAAAATAGAGGAGATTTCTTCTCTTCCAACAATTTTCATATTGGTATGATGATAAAAAATGTCTATAACATTTTGATTAAATAATCACTTTTTACTCCTATTCTTTTTTGAGCATTTTGACCCACAATGTTTTATTTTGGAGCAAAAAGACCCATGTGGATGGAAATTGATAGTAAACAAACAATCAATGTTCTGAAAAAGGGCCTTTTTACCCTAAAAAAAAACATTTGGGAGCCAAGATACTTCAAAATAAAAGAAAAAGAGCTAGAGTGACTATTTAGCTGAAAGTTAGAGATCTTTTTGTCTTAAAATGAAAAATTGGAAGGCAAAATGCTTTAAAAAAATATGAATTAAATTAGGGACACATCATGCTTTTCAGGTTTCTGAAAAGCCAGATAACTTTAACAACCTATGATTCTAACATATACAATTGATTCTTCGCCTAAACTATCAAAACTATAAGAGATGAATCATCTCCAATCGACATAACATACATGGTTACCATCAATATATATATATATATATACACACACACATTTGGATGTTTATGACTAATCCTTGCAGGAATATATGTGGGCGGCGACATGGTGATTCATCTCCGAGGAAAAGGAAAGAAACTTAGCGAGCCATCTTCATGCAAGAAATGTGGAAACAAGCGATTCATCAATGGCGAAATAGCCAGAGTATGCATCAATTGTTTCCTCGAAGGAGAAACAGTTCGGATCTATGACTATGGAGTTTCTGTTATTGAATTCACTTTCAGAAAAAGCGGCACCTGCTCTCGTATCCCGTCCAAGCCTCCCCATGAAGTTATCACGACTGCCGTCTTTTTCCTCGAAAAAGGGTACGACCACTACGACGTGATCTTTAACAATTGCGAGGACTTCGCCACGTATTGCAAGACGGGAACCGCCGCGGGCAGCCAGGTTGCAGGCCGTATTGCTGCTGCCGCCATTTTGCTCGCTCCTGCTCCTGCTGCCGTTCCTATTGTCGGAGCTTACTTGGCTACGAAGGCAATAACCGCCATCATAAAACCCCGTTAACAAAACGGTTCGAACATAGATGGATCGAGGGATACTGAAGTTCGAGCTTGTCGTCAACTTCTGCTACTGATGCACGAGTCTTAAAAGTATTATAATAACTCGAAGAAGGCAAAGCTAGTATGTTATGAAGATATACCTTATCTTTATATTGGTGTATAAAATCTAAGAAATGCAAAGACTAGTTTATCTATTTGTGTTAGTTGGTTTACTTTTAAGTTTATTCATATTCCGTTCGTGCTTATATGTTTATTTTTAAGTTTAATATATTTCAATCAACATATTATCGTTCAACTCAGATGACAGTAAATTTTTTTAATATAAATAATATTTCAGTTATTTTTAATTTTAATTTTTTATTAATAGAATGTTTACAAGCCAATATAATATCTTTTCGAAAGACGATCATCTGTTTATAAAAGTTTGAACACCTCTATAAACATCATACTTGAATTCAAAATCGTTAGAGATAACAACTATTATTCTAATCAGTGAAATCATTTAGTTCGTATAATAAATTTAAAATTTATAGTAATTAAGAGAAGATATTATGATATTACTTTTAAAAATATGGTCAAGCTAGTCCATATGTATGGATATGGTATTTTGAGGAAATGCCCGTACGATGCTTTTAAGCGTATGTATAATGATAGGAAGTGGAAAAGAGGAAAAGATTTGGAAATGACGGGCTAAATTATGCCATATCTGCGTGAGATTTCCAACATGACCACTTAAAAGATGCCACTGGGTTTTTCTTATTCTTAATTATTGATGTTTAATTTATTAATCGATTAATTAAATTCAGATACTGTAAATCTATTACGAAGATAATTCTCTTATTTTAATTTTTTCATTCACAATCACGATTTAAATTAGAATATGCATGGGTCGAGTTGGATTAGGTTCTTGGCCAAATCGACTCGAAAAATAGATCTCCTCCTCCCAAATCTGACTAGACCCGAGTTTAGGGTGACTTTTTAGACCCAATTTTTTGAGATAAAATCTAAACATTACTGACCCGCAATAAACATATTTATATAAAAAATAATTTTATTCAATAAAATAGGAATCTAATTAACAAAAATAATATATGGAGGGTTATTATTGCAATTATCCCCAAATAAATAAGGTATAATTACAATATTTTTTGGGTTCGGGCAGGGTATTTTTCACCTTAATTCCAAACCTAATCCAACCCGCAATAAACATATTTATAAAAAAATATTAATCTTATTTAATAAAATAGAAATCTAATTTAAAAAGTATATATAGAGGGTATTATTATAATTGTTCATAACTATATAAGACATAATTATGTTACTTTTTGGGTCGGGTCGGGTATTTTTCATCTTAAATCCGAACCCGATCTGACCCAAAAATAGATCTCCTTCACCCGAACCCGACCATATTCGAGTTTAAGGTGACTTCACCTGACCAAATTTTTGATATAAAACCCAGACACGACCCGACTGAAATAAATATATTTATAAAAAATATTAATTTTATTTAATAAAATATGGATATAATTGAAAAATAATAATATATAGAGATATTATTGCAATTATCTCTAAAAAATTATAAGATATAAATACATTATTTTCTGTCGGATCAAGTATTTATCACCTTAAATCCAAACCCGACTTATACCCGGTTTTTTTTAAAAAAATTCTGACACAATCGGTTCGGGTCAGAATCCACTGGATTCGAATCACATGCCCATCTCTAATTTAAACCTTTAATCTTAAAAAGTTTGATACCTCGTTCCACTACAAATTTCTAGTTGGTATAGATTCATCTTTATGGTCACTGATTGCTTCACTAAGAGGACGGGGAGCTGGCGTAATTGAGATTAGATCATCACTCAACAAATCTATGAGAAAGGAGATTTTTTGTGCCGATAAGGGTTGCTGTAGGCTGTAGAGAATCATCTCAGATAATGGTTTTGAATTGGAACAATAAAACCATGAGAAAAAAAATAGTGTGAGGAATCATTTTATCTCCCAAAAATAGAATATAAGACTTTCATATGCTTAAGATTCGGGTTCGAGTTCGAATTGAGCTTGGTAATTTTAATCTAACGAGATTTTAAGTCAAATCGACCTTAGTTCTAAACTTTTCGGGACGAATCGAGCCGAGCTCAGCAATACTTAATACTATTTTATAGCCCTAGTTGTAGGAAATAAGATGTTTATGTTGACCGTGGACGATTCACCTCTTATGGTATTTTGAGGAAATGCTGGTACGATGCTTTTAAGCGTATGTATAATGATAGGAAGTAGAAAACAGGAAAATATATGGAAATGACCGGCTAAATTATGCCATATCTGCGTGAGATTTCCAACATGACCACTTAAAAGATGCCACTGATTTTTTTTTTCCTTCTTAATTATTGATATTTAATTTATTAATCAATTAATTAAATTCAGATACCGTAAATCTATTACGAAGATGATTCTCTTATTTGAATTTTTTCATTCACAATCACGATTCAAATTAGGGAAATGCATGGGTCGAGTTAGATCAGGTTCTCGGTCAACCTAACTCGAAAAATAGACCTCGTCCACCCGAATCTGACCAGACCCGAATTTAGGGTGACTTCACTAAACCTAAGTTTTTGAGATAAAATTTGAACCTGACCTGGCCCGTAATAAATAAATTTATAAAAAATTAATTTTATTCAATAAAATAGGAATCTAATTAAAAAATAATATATGAAGGGTAATTATTACAATTATCCATAAATATATAAGATATAATTACAATATTTTTTGAGTTGAGTAGGGTATTTTTCACCTTAAATCTAATATGACCCGCAATAAACATATTTATAAAAAAATATTAATTTTATTTAATAAAATAAGAATCTAATTAAATATATATATATATATAGATGTATTATTGTAATTGTTCCTAACTATAAAAGACATAATTACGTTATTTTTTTGGGTCGGGTGGGGTATTTTCATCTTAAATCCGAACCCGATCTAACCCAAAAATAGACCTCCTTCACCCGAGCCCGACCATATCCGAGTTTAAGGTGACTTCACTCGACCAAGTTTTTGATATAAAACTCAGACTCGACCCGACCGAAATAAATATATTTATAAAAAATATTAATTTTATTCAATAAAATATGTATCTAATTGAAAAAGAATAATATATAGAGAGGCATTATTGCAATTATCCCTAAAAAATATAAGATACAATTACATTATTTTCTGGGCCGGATCATGTATTTTTCACCTTAAATCCAAATATGACTCATTCCCAGTTTTTTTTAAAAACATTCTGACATAGTTGGATCGGGTCGGAATCCACCGAGGTCTATTTTGTAACTTTTAATAGTTGGGGAATCAACAAAATAATTCCTTATAGTCGGGGATCATTTGTGTACTTTTTCATTTTTTTAAATAGTCGGGTTTTGAATTGGGTGAATATAAGATAATATATGTTCAATTTTTTAATTTATTGATAACACAAACACATTTTGTAGATATAACAGTTCGAATTTGAATCTTTTAGGAAAAATTATCCCTTTTAGTAAGTAGTTTATTTTATAATAGCATCACATCTTGTGTTGTCTAATGTGTTGCGAATGAAAGTGTTGATTTTTTTTTGAAAGATTGATACTTTGTATTGATAAGGATACAAGGTATATCACCCCATGGACCTCATTAAAAAACCTCCCTAAACCTATTGGAGGAAAAAGAGTGAACCATGAGGTGGAAAGAACAGAAATCCGAAGACTAGCTCCTGAGAACCAACAGAGCCTGAGATACATGAGACTACCAAAAAAACGTCTGACCTGTTGTTATGCAAACAACTACACACAACCACAAAATTCAATTGACAGAAACACCACCCCACCCCAGAAGCCTCCACAGGAAAGAGCAAAACAGAACTGTCTGACTCCAAAACATCAAGCATATAAATCCTCAAGGACATCATCCGAACCTTCTGGATGATTAATCCACCAAAACACCTTATAAACCAAGAATACATCACCAAGGATCATCCAAAGAGCACTCCATTCGCCTTTTCATCTAAGGAACCCAATATGGTCCTAGGCTCACTACATCACAAATAATAATCGAAACAAAAAACACACATGAGAAATTTAACCAGATCCCCGTAGCAAATCGAACACAAACGAAGTTGTTCTCAAAGACCGAAAACAATCACCTAAACAATCCCAACAATACACTAACTAACGTCAATGCATAACTGACGATGAGATCTTCTAGAGAACCATAGTTTCGGGACTACCAACCATAAGTCCAAGTTGCCTATCTAAATACACTGCCTCATGCGCTTCAACAAAAGCTTCTGTTAGAGTATGTCCAAAGACCAATCATATGATGATTGTAATAATACTTTTATTTACCGATTTTATTGAATAAAGGCATTGCCGCTATTATTTTCAGTTATATATATGTGTTTAACATAAACTGGAAGATAATAAAGTCCATGTAATGACATAATTGTTATTATTACAAGATCCCTAGTCAAGTATTATTATGGGCATGGACAATAATAATATGCTTAAGACTAACATGTTATTGATTGATGACAATGAGTTGTCAATGACATAGAGATGTCAGAATTGATACATGATTATATTGTTAGAGAACAATGTATTGGATTGACCCACCATGAGCATATGTCTTGGATTATTATGTGACAATCATAACATTGCTCATGGTGATAACTATATGTATGATCCTCAGACTTGAGATCAATATTATCCCAACATATATTAATGTATGTTTTGATGCAGTTAAACAAGCTCCGTAACTGGTTGCTCTATAAAGACTGCTATTGAATATATCTCAATATATGTAGTGGGTGTGTATGATTAAGATAGGATTTGTCCTTCCTACATAATAGGAAATATATCACAGGCCACTTGATTGAATGAGACTAGAAACGCATGGCCATGCTCGAATAAGTTGATATGAGATATCACAAACTATTCGTTAATTAAAGTCTACTCTAGATATTAAGAAACAATAGATGGGCTATACAAGTGTGACTATTCCAAGACTTGTGCCTATTCTAGATATAAAGGACAAAAGCATGTAATACATAAAAGAGTTAATCACCAAGATGATATGTC